AAACACATATTAAAGCCTAATCTAACTGTCCACCTGATAGAGCCCAGGTGATCTGAGCCTTCTCTGGGTTTCCTGCCTCATCACGAGAAAAGTTATATTCGTGTTTCTTGGGCAAGACAACCTACAGGAACCAAGAAGTTGTACCTTATGCAGTGGACCCCAGATATCTGACACAAGCTGCAGAAGTTAGAAGGTTTTGCAGGAATGAATTTCTCTGAGTTGAGGTGTTTCATAGTAGAAAGGATACAGAATGGAATTATAGATGGAAAATGAGAATGTTGATACTAGTAGCCCACAGGAAGGAAGGTAAATGTCCACAGCTGCTAGAGAAGGAAAAAGAAAGTGTTTATGATGGAGTCAGAGGAAGTTTCAGATAGAGGTGGTCATGCATCTTCCCTCTCAGTCTAAGGGAACCCATGTTAACTGCCAATATATAAAAGAAAAGCCTGTTAAACTTTTAATAGATGCTTGTGCAGATTCATCAGTAGATACCCAGCCAGTGACTCCACTTGCGAACTGGAGAGTACTCAGTACTTTCCCTAGGTCTGACAATTCATGTGCCCCCAGTAATGGTAAAGTTGGTAAAACACAAGAGTAGGCCAGTTTGAGACAATTCCCAGTGGCCATGAAAGATAAAGAGATTAAACCTCACATTTAAGAGATCTCTGTTAATAGACCTACAAAATGTTCTGACTAGTGTTTTTGTAATTACAAACTTCAAAAGGTTATTGTATTCCAGATCTGCTAAATGATTACTGTATCCTGTTGATATTATTATTTGTTTCTTTGGTTCTGTTTTTACCCCAGTGCCCCTCTATATACTGGTACTCCAGCAATCTATGACCTGTTCCAATTTATAAATACCACCCAGGCACTTGTTTCATATCACATGGGTATGTCTTGTCTAACGGTCGCGAACAGATAGGTAATGTTAAACTTACGATTATTTGCCAGCGATATGAGGCCCTAGCTACTAACAACTCAGATCTCTAAGATTAGAGATTTCCAACATCAAAAGGGGGAATGTAAAGCCCAAATAATTTTAAGATCACATATAGAAATAAATAGATAAAATGTGTTTCAATTAAAAGGACCCACTCACTGGCTTACGGCCCTAGAGCTTGAGCAAGCCATGTTTCTAACACAAAGAGGACGTAAGAAAACCTTGGATGGGGTCCCGTTACTTGGAAAACAATTAAAACAACTGAGTCAGCCAAGGAGTTGCCCGTGGCCCTCCCCTAGTTTGAATTCTTGTAAGAGACATACATTCCCAAAACCTAAAGCCTCACTATTAGAAAGCCATAACAGCAGAATGCCCAGGCCTGCTTCCAAGGCCGCAAAAAGAGGACAGTCCAATTCTTCCCCTTACTAGTGGGGCTGGAAATCACAGTGGCCACGGGGACAGGTTCACCAGGGTTGACGGTAGCAGTACATTCTTATACTAAATTATCTAA